TTGATTGATTGATTGATTGATTGATTGATTTATCATTTCTATAGCCGCCCATGTCACACAAGGTGACTCTGGGTGGCATACAACAATTAAAAAGAATAAATGCATAAAAACAATTACAAATAAAAAACTGTAATATTTATTTATTTGTCATATTTGTATAGTATATTTATATACTTGATGAAAGTGAAACTGTCTGTATCTTGGGAATTGATGCATTACCTGGGTGGACTATATGTAACAGTTCCAGTTTTGATATAACAATAATGGAATAGGAAGTACAGGATATCTGCAGTTTTTGTTTTCTCTATAATAATGCTTACATTCAAAACAAAACAGACACCCTGAAAAATAATGTTGTAAACTAATTTATATTAATTTCTGGTAGTGTAATGGGCAGAAGGAATAACCTGAGAGACAGGAGGAAGAGCTTTAGCCTAGACAATAGTCTGTTAAACAAAATCTGAGTCCAAACCAGAAATGAGTTTTGAGAAAGAATCTCAAAATTGACCCTCCCTAGTTCTCTGGAACATAAAGGCAGGGAGGGGAGAAATGCTTTCAGACTTGCAAGATTCTGTTGCTGTAACTTTTACAATAAAAGTAGTATTGGTATTTATGATTTTGGTTACCTGGTCTGGACTACCTTGGAGGGCTGACACATACTCTTTAATTGTTGCATTAGTTAAATGTGATATTTAAGCCATTAATTACATATATCTTGTATTTCTCCTATAAAGGATTCTCAAATAGTAATAGACTCCTTTAAGTCTGGCTTTGAACCTCCCGGAGACTTTCCATTTGAAGATTACAGTCAACACATTTACAGGACTGTTTCTGATGGAACGATCAGTACACCAAAACAGGAAGGGATGAAAATTGATGCAAAAACCACTGTGGGCAAGGCTAAGGGCAAACTCTGGCTTTTTGGAAAGAAACCAAAGGTAAAGAAATTGAAATGTATCACATGATTGCACACTCAAGGTTGTAATTCAGTGATTAAATGTTGCCTTTTGCAACAGAATAATCAGATTTATTCTTGTTGGCAGCTTGTAGGGGCAAAATTGTCCATTTTAGAAACTGGATTCTGGTATGCTCCAGAGGATAACTTTGCTATTATGAACATTTTTGTCTCTCATCCCTACATAATCCAACTGTGGGATTCCAGCAAGCCAAAAGCATATACTGTGACTGATCAGAGCAGTAATGCTGAAATTGCTTTGGAATTGTAAGACTGTCGTGATATATACCAGACAGTGACTTGGCCAGAAACTCCTGCAATCAATCTGAACAGTTGTAGCAGCTTCTGCAGTTGTTGCTGGACTCTTAAGCCATGCAATATCTTGCCATCCATGTGGCACTGTATTTGTTGAGATAGAGGTGCTCTTGTGGACTGGAGGGAGATTAACAAGCACAATCAGTTTAAGGTTTTTAACTTACATGATAAATGTAGTACAATTGGTGGTATAGTTTATTTAAGCTTTTGTGTGTCCTGGTGAAGCTTTATTTAGTATAGTTTTGTGTTTAATAGATAAAACTTGGGAAAAAGTGAATACTATTGAGAAGTGGGTGACCTGAAGGTCAAATGGAAATTAGCATTAATTCCTTTGGAAGCATGAAAAACTAGCAATATTATGTCTGAGTTGACCCTATAAAAATAGATATTGTTAGCATTGGGACCAGCAAAGAGCATAAACGATGTTTTATTTTTATTCTTTTCACTGAATTATGGTGGATTGTACGAGAAACTTGTACAAAAAATTTTAATAGATAAAAGAATGCATTTGTAATTTCCAATTGCATGGTGTATCTCTATTAATATTCAAAGCCATTTTTTAAGTTCTGATTTCATGTATCATTAAAATGGGTATCCTAGATTTGGGATAAAAATAAGGCTTTTAATTTTATTTTCTCATAGCGAGAGACAAATGTAATACACCACAGATATAAATAAAATGTCAATGCCTGTTGTATCTATTTTCTTTCACATCTGTAGTTTTATCAGTGTGTTTTTGAGTTAGTTCAGAAGGGGCAGCTTTTCATGGTGGTTTTGAAATTCTTGTGAGCTCAACTTGGTGTCTTTATCATTCTGATAGCCAAAAACAAAAGTTTTGTGATGTCTTAAACATTAACATTTTTATTATAAGTTATTTTTATTATGATATAAGTTTTATGGTGATACATTTTGTTGCTGATCATTATAATGATGAAAACATAAAACGTTATGGGCTTGGATCCAGACCCAGGGTGCTGAAATGGAAGAATTTTTTCCATTCCCCAAAATGAATGAATCGTTCAATGGAAGCTGCCATAAACTGAAAGATTATTTTCATCTGTTCTGTCTCTACCTCCAGTTCCACCTTTCATATTATTTTTTAAAATCCTCCACTCTTCTGAAGCAGATTTTTGAGAGGAAAGTTACTGTGGGTTTCAGAAAGAGGGGCATTTGGTTGAAATCTCCCCTTCTATCCAGTTGTGGGAGCATTCAGTTTGCAGAATTCTGTTCCTTTGTTACTCTGGATCCAATCCATTATTTATTTCTTATTGAAAGGAAAAGACAGAATTTTCACCACTTTGAATGTTTGCCTTATCTCTTCCTTTCTTTCTATATCAGCCACAGTCCCCACCCCTTACCCCTACTAGTTTATACACGTCCAGTACTTCTAATGGTTCCCAGTATCCCATATTCTCCATTGAACAAATGCATTATTGCATGAATGAAATAAAAACAGGGAAGCCCAGAATGTCTTCTTTCAGAAGCCTCAAAAGAGGGGTAAGTTTTATGAGTTGCAGGTGCATGATGGCGCTATGGTGTGCTTCTGTGTGGCTTTTGTAGTACCCTCCACCATCATAATTTTTCTACTAGCAATGGTACAATCAACAATCATTTTGCTTAATTCCATGTTGTGTAATAGCTATGCTTAGCGTCACAAGTAATGTTAATGTTAAAAATAGCTGTCTCCGATGGTATTACAAAGAAGATGCTGAGTGCATGTTCTCATTGTTTCCTGAGTGTACTTAATATGTAATGTATTAGGAACCAGAAATTACTGGTAAGGAAAGAGAAGTGAGATAATTGTAAGGAACTGGTTGATTATTATTTTGTTTGCTGATTTTTCTAACAAAGGAGTATAGATTTTCTGAGGCATTTTAAAAAGTCATGCTGACAAGCTACCCATACATATCTCGGATGTTTATAATAATTGTGAGGAAAGGCAGGTATTTATTTTATAATTCTTTTATTCCAGCCTTCTCCCAAGAAGCTCTGCATGACACATCTGATTACTTATTTTCCCCTGGCCCACCCTCAAAACAATCTGATGAGGAAGAGTAGGCAAAGACACAGTATCTGTTCCAAGAACTTTGTTCTTTTAATTGATTCTAATAAAAGTATTATTCAGGTATAGAGTTTGCATTTGTTAATCTTGCATCTCAGTAGAGATCAGTTTTTTATGACATTCTTCATATGTGAATAGGGGATCCAGTATCTCACTCTGAGCTTCCCAAGACATGTAGTCTAGTCAAAAAGTTGTGTTCTGTCAAGTGCCTCTCCTCAAATATTTGTTATTTTATGAATTATAAAGTGATCAGGCACAAGTCCAAATTATAGGGTACATTTTCCTTTATATTGACGTCCATGTTACTACCCTTTAGTGTTAATTTTAGTTTAGCCTTGGCTACCCATGAACTGACACTGGCTCATGGTTAGATTATACATTTCTAAATAAATATTTTGTGAATTTTGTATAATTAATGTAAAACTCATTTTAAGTCACCTTGAGTATTAGCAAGCTTTATAGTTTTTCAAATTATTGATTTCAGTGGGATATCTTAAAACATTAGCTTCTGGGAAATGTATTTTCATTTTTAAAAAATCTGCCTCCAGTTTAATAGTTTACACACAAACACAGATCTTTCTTTTTTCATTTTAATGTGTAATATTTTAAATGCAGTGTTCTTCACTCTAGTGATTAATTTACTGTTATTTCCTGAAGGACATTTTTGTTTAGTCATTTATAGATTATTATTAAGAGAGAATATGCTTACTAATTTATAATGACAGATTCTGCAAATGTAGTTTGTTCTAGGGAAGAAATGATCTCCAACCAACATTTATTATTTCATGACACATGGATTAGTATTAGATTGTTTGGCTCTGAAATGCATTGTTTCATATATGTGGGAGTCTAATACTGAGTCTTGATAACCAGAAATTGAATGGATTTTCATCTGTGTGTTTGTGTGTATTCATACGTACACAAAATTCCTGACAATTATAGATATATACACACATCCACACACACATACATCCACATACATGGATACACACACATACATACATATGAACAAACTGGAAACAAAATCGATTATAACCTTATGATATATGCCTATTATAGTTGGGCATGTTGGTCTTGAGAAAAGCAGTTCAGAGTCCAAAGATATAAGCAGTTCTAGTTAATTATTAGATAAGTTATCATTGTAGTGAGTGGTTTGGGTCCCTTTTTCCACCTTTGGCTATAGATTTCTTATAATTTCCTTGTCTCAGATTAGAGCACTATGATATAGTTGCTTTCCCTTTTAGCATCTGGCTTTTAATCTATGATTTTTGCTCTATATCCTAAAATATTTCAAATTTTGCACCCAAAAATCCTGATCCTTCATTTAGAACAAATTGTATAGTTAGACTTAATTAAAAATATATATTTGGGTCATAGGTTTGTTATTCTTTCACACTTAAATTTTCAGATAGTTTAGATTTTATGAGGAGAGAAAAAGCAAATTTGGTAAGGATCCTTGTCTCTTGTTGGAATTAAAGAAGCTAGAAGTGATAAAATCTTTTTTAGGCTTCCTTTATATCTCTGAAACTTAGCTAGATTCTGCATTCATATTACATCTAATTCTTATATAGCATATTTGCAGTCATAGGAATGTACACAGCCCATATCCAGCATTCTGAGAGAAAATGCTGATTCTTAACATAATAATTACTGCAGTAACAGAATCCAATCTTTAATAAGTTTGTAGACCATTAAAAACCATAGTTTGTAGTATCTCTTTTCTCCTAACTGTTAATCATGCTGGCTGTGTTATGAAGATTTATGAATAACTCCTTACTTGGAAAAGTGATAGCTGCCAAAATTTAATTATCCTATCAGAGTTCTCCAGATATAACATTAGTCTTGTACATCTTGAAAGGGACAATCGCACCTTCTTTATTTAGTAGCTTGATTTACCAGTATCTTGCACAGAATTCTCAACTGTGGATTTTATGCAAGAACTACAGGAAAGGATGTTTCTTTGAAAGAAAAAAAAAAACAGTGAAGAGAACTGAGATTTCTCACCTCTAACCTTCCATCCTTGGCATATAGGGGCTAGTGAAAGAAACCGCTAGTAAGAATCTCTTGATTATGCTCAGTAGCCTTTAAAAGATCTTATAAATAAATATATTTTGCAGTATTGACAATTGTATTAAATTGTTTTGATCTGTAAGGACATTGGCTTTCATCATGATCCCACTAACTATGGGTTACACAGAGCTCTATGCTTGTGAGGGCTAGAATCTAATCTCCTCTGGTCATTGGGAAATGATCTGTACATCTGTTAGAGTTTTCGTGCTGTATTAAAAAAAGGGACTATATACAATTCCATATCATGGCTCAACAGAGGTTTGTTCTTGCCAAATAAGCACACTGCTTCTTCTTGTTAATTTATAGCCAACATTCTGACTTGAAGTAGCTTTTCCCATATTGGGCAAAATGGCTAAATTTTTCAAAACCCAACAGTTCATTGTATCATCAGCCTTTGATTATCATTTTTAAAAATGGAAATTAATCAAGAAGTGGTATAACTATTATGAGGAACAGGATAATTCAAATACTCTTTTTTTTCTTGAATAAAAAGATATAGATTTAAACTGCTGTCAGCTTTAGCCATCCAGTGACAG